GTCGGAGGGAAGGAGCACAAATCCTTCCCCCTCTGCGGTTGACAGAGGTCTGCAGCCGTGCGCTGGGCTAGCAGGTGCCGAGAGGGCGCGTCCGGCTCAGCCCAAGCTTGTTAGATGGACGTCCTGGGAGCCGCCAGGAGAAGGGGCCGCAGGCCTGTGGTGGGGACCAGGCTGCTTTGCTCACTCTAGTTGAGCAGCTCTGGGCAGTTTACTCACTTGATCACGACTGTGGTTTGCCTTTGTGAGTGGCTGGTGGCAGAGGGTCAGTTCACTGGTGGGTTTAGGTCCCTTGCTGACTGCTTGGCAGCTTGCATGTCGAGAACATGACCAGGCCATTCAGCCGGGCCGATTTGCTGCGGCCTTGGGAGCGGAGGTGCTGTGCAGGGAAACCAGAAAGTGTCTCTGCGTGACGTTCTCTCTTGTCAGGGCCCTGAGACTGCCCTGTGGGATAGAGGACTGTGCGGTGCATGGGCAGCCCTCCTGGGCTGGGGGCAGCCATCCGAGGCCCCCTCAGACCCGGAGCCTGAGCCAGGACTGCCTAGTTGTTCCTCCCATAGCTGTCCTGCCCGGGACAGCAGCTGCTGGCCACACATGACTATTAAAGTTCAAACTTAAATCACTTAAGAGTAAGTAAAATTACAGTTCAATCCCTCACTTGTCCTGCCCACATTTCACATGCCCAGGAGCCCTGTGTGCTGCTGGCATCTGTGGTGGGCAGTGTGGACACAGCACGCTTCCGTCACCATGGAAAGTGGTATTGGTGGCCACTGTCGGGAGCCAGAGCCTGGTGAAGATGATGTCACCTGGAGGCACCTGCGCCCTGGGGCTGCAGCTACAAGGAGACACCCCGCTTCTTCAGGGCCTCCTCGCCAGCTACTCCTGCAGAGGCTGGGCTTGGGGCGGCCTGCTTACCCTGACCACCGCTTGCTCCTTTCCCTTAGAATGGGTGGTGTTTTACCCACGTTACAGGTTACTCCGGGTTTCCACGTGTCTGGGAAAGTTGTTGTGGGCTTTCTTATACCAAGAAGGCTTTAGACAAAGGCTTTGCACCTTACGGGTTTACACTGTTGGGCCCTCGAGGGGGCAGTTAGGGATGGAGGCCATTAGTGATACCACCGTGATGATACAAATACAAGGAGGAAATAAA